TCGCACTGTAGCAGTGCGCCACCGGGCCGGCCCAAGAACTGCTGTATTCTATGCTAGAGGTTGGAGGGAAACAGCAGTCCTTGGCATAGCTACTTAGATAGAGAAGGCTCATTGGCATGCTAACTCTTACAAAAGGGAGAAATGGGCTACTCCAAATATATGGAACCCTGAAAGAAGATGCAGTCCAAATATAATGTATTCAAAGAGATTTATCCTGTATTTAATTTCCTATCCCACTGCCATCATCCACCCAACCTGCCTCAATCATTACAACTTGTGGCTTGGGATAGCCCCCTATAACAGATGGTAGATGATGCTCAAAATCTCAAGATCTACATCTATATATGACATACAAAGTAAAATAATTTTATTCTGTTTGAGATTCTTTATTTGGCAATGGCTATCAGTGTGGTTCTCAATCAAGCAGGAAGAACATCAGAATTTCTTGGCGGGCACAGGTAGTTGGGAGAAGCACATTCAATATTACAATAATTGTATATTTGAAAAATGGTAAAATACCATTTTCATGACTCTCAACTTCTTGGTGGATAAAGTATTTTTAAGAAGCTGAAAATCACTGAAATGAGGCCAAGTTCCTAGAACATATGGGCAGTGTCTTTATATATATTGTAATTGGCATTTTTGACACAAATATCAAATAACATTATCTAATGAATTACTATTCTCAATGGTTGTGAAAGCATCTTCTCAAAATTATACCACTTTTGCCTTATTCAATGCCATCTATTCAAGAAAGCCAAATCCTGAGGTCAGTAAGTATATAACTTAAAAACAATAAACTCTAATTGAGCCCCTGGTAAGTACCAGGAACGATGCCAGGGGCATTCATGTGTGATATCTCATTTAATCCTCTTAAACTAGTAAGTCACATGCTATTCTGTGGTTCTTGGCAATATGAACATCTAGTATTATTGGTATATAGTATCTAGTATTACTAGTATCTAGTATTACTGGCCACACAAAAGAGAAAATGCTCAAAAAATGCTTTTGAAGTTGAGTGAGCATGAGACTTGAAGCACAAGGATGTAAGTGAAGAGGAGTAATGTGAGCATTCTCCACCAGACTTCCAATCTAGCATTTTCCATCTTACTGTTCCAGGTCCCCACATGCTCACACTGAAGCAGAAACCATCCTAAATTGGGAAACGGAATCAAGGCTGTTATTTTCAAGAATATTTGGACTGTCTAGGCAACTGGTTCCCCCAACCTCTGTTCCCTCTTCTTCTCTGGATACAAGACTCCTGATTTTTAGCTGGGCAAAATAAAGACCACAGCTGCCAGATACTACTGCAGTTAAGTTCTAGACAATGGGATATAAACAGAAGAGTCTGGTACAACTTCTGCGAAGTGCTTTAAAGGGTAGGGGCATATTCTCCCTCTCCCTTCCTTTTTCTAACTGGCTGAAAAACAAACAAGGTGTCTACAGCCTGAGCAGCCATCTTGGATCATGAAGTGGAAGCCACACCCTAAGGATGACTGATCAGCTGGATGGAAGGAGTCTGCATCTCTGATGAAGTGAAATGTTATGCCAGCCTGGGCAGCCTGTAGACTTCTTTTACATGAGATAAATCTTTTTCAAGTCATTATTATTTTAACATATCTGTCACACAGAGCCAAATTCAATATTAACCAATACAGTAGCTGAAAAGAGAAAACAGAAATTCAGATGACTCACAAACTCTGAGGCAGCAAAGCACATGGTTAGAAGCATGAACTCTGGAGCCAGTCTGCCTGGTCCAATCCTGCTCTACCTCTTACTAGTTGTGAGATTTTGGGCAATTACTTATACCGTGTGCCTCCGTGTTGTCATCTGTGGGGATAATAAGAGTGCCTATCTCCAAAGGTAGTTATGAGGATTAAGTGAGTTATTACTTATAAAGCGCTTAAAATAGTACCTGGCATACAGTAAGTGCTATGTATTTTTTAAAGAAAATAAACAAAGGGCCGCCCGGTGGCGCACTGCTACAGTGCACCGCCTGCGGCGGCGCTCCCGCCGAGGATTCGGATCCCACATACAGACCAGCCGTTCACTGGCTGAGCGAGGTGCGGGCACAACACCGAGGGTTGCGATCCCGTTGCCGGTCCCGGTCCGGTACGGGCGCGACACTGAGGGTTGCGATCCGTTGCCGGTCACGAAAAAAAGACAAAAAGGAAAAAAAAAAAAAAAGAAAAGAAACAAATACATTTGGAGCAGGGCCAAAGATGACCATACCTACTACAGTGAGTCTGTGGGCCAGTCTAACCCACCACAGCATTTAGGAAGTGGTACTCTGTTTTAAACCACATTTTCCTCAGTGGAAGCAGGATGGTTGCATTAGTAAGTTTTATCAGGGCATATGTGTTTTGATTTCCCCTCTAAGAAAGGATAGTAGCCAGTATATTTTAGAGACTGGCATCCTGAAAATCACCAAGAAACATACCTATGGTCTGTCATTCTCTGTGGCCTATGTACTGAGATGATAGTATTTTACCAGGTAGAATTGAGAGATAGTATTACTCCCACCTGTCAGAGCACCAGATCACTTCTCAGCTGACCTGATACACTGCCAATGGAGCTGTAACAGTGTCATGAAAGAAAAAACAAAAATCTTCCTCCTTCTCCTGTACCCATCAAAGATCATCTTAGCCCATTCTCACATTAGCCAAAAAGCTTTAAAAACAAACAAAAAAACCCACAGATAACAATTCATATCTTAGATCTCATTCTGTTCCCGAACAGAAAAGACGAAAGCATCTTGCTAACATTTAGACCTGAGGACACCCACATTTCTTTGCTTCTAGAAATGATAGTTCCCATTTGAGCTTTCAAACTCCTTTAAGGGACTTGGAAAGACAGTACACTCAAAGCTTTCCCCAATTCAGATTATGTAAACTGAGTTGATGGCAGAATTGATCTCTGGTTCTTGGTGATAATTCAGGGACGACCCAAACTCAGAGAAAATAACTGGATCATTCAATGAACCTAACCAAGAGATACAGATCACAGCCCATTTTGGCCACTCAGGCCTTGTATCAAAACAGCACATTGCCTATCTAAAGAATTCACACAGGCGAGATGCAGGGAAAATTTGAAGGAACTCTGACAGCCATCATTTCAGTAAGTGTAACAATACATTTTTCCAATGAACTATCTAGCACATCTGAAACCTTAGAGAAGACTTGATATTTCTTGACCCACTGTTCTGTTCTTCCAGTGATATCTCCGGTTTGATCTGAGTCAAATGCCTTAAATCCTTCTGCAGTTCTCAAAAGGATAAAAAGTCACTGCCCAGCTGCACTGGCCACTCCATGCCCTATCCCACCCTGACCCCATCCCCCTTTATACACATGCAGGGGACAAAATAAAGGTCAGCAAACTCTGCCTTAGGTGAAAAGCAATGAAGAGAAATGAAAGTAAAAGGTAGCTGACAGTCCCATGTTTCTAAAACTCTATATTCTAAACTTTAGAACCATCAAAAAGGATTTAAAACTTTTCCCAGAAGAAGTGAGCAATAACCAGGGCAGATGAAACTGTGCGTCCCCCCACTCTATCATCAACGTCTGTCAATAAGAGACCTGGGATGGTGGCAGGAGACATCCCCATAACACAGAGGCTGGAATTGAATCTTCAGAGCCCCTGGTGGATCATCCATCCTCCTCCATAAACAGCGACACACTTGGTTCCGCCCAAAATTAAAGAACAGGCCCAAAGCCCCAAATCTGTAGGTCGATGTCCGAATAGGAGCCCCGATAGTTTAAAGCTAAGGAATCTACTAGAAAGCACCATCTCCCTGCGCATCTCTGTCCAGAGGCAGATAGCCCCTCTTATAGCGCTGGGCCTCTGGCCTGTATCTGGTCAATTTCCTCTTTTCATTTTCCGCTCATTCCTCCTCCCCCACCAAATAGGTTCTGATTTAGTTCTTCATTCCGCAGAGCTTCCCCATCTCCAGTCCTCAGTGGCATTCCAAAATCCTGCCAGGAGCTGGCACTGTGAAGTTTCTTCCTTTTGCAGCCCTCCAACCTGCCTTTCTCCCTCCGGCTGTACGAAGTCCAAAACTCCCCCCGAGCCTCACCAGCCCCGAGCCCGCAGCTGCGGTCCCCACCCCCGCTCTCACCCCCTGAGGGTCCTTGACGAAGTAGCTTCCGCTGGAGCCCTGGTAGATGCGCTCGGGGAAGATGCAGCGCTCGATGGCCAGCTCGGCCTGCCGCACCACCGCCTCGAACTCAGGGTCCTCCGGGAACTCGTTCCGGTGGCGGTGGGCCTGCGCGGCGTGCGCCGCCGCCG